CATTAATGCAAGAACCTACCTTTATCTTGAGAAGATTTGATGTATAGTATGATGTTAAGACATTTTGATTGACATCATTAACTCAACCCGCCTTTTGGAGAAACCCATGGTTTATCACTAAAGCTTTTCCTTGTTTGATAGAGCCTTGATAACCAAACCATACTTCTTATAGGTTTCCAGTCATCTTCCCATCTTGAAGAATCTCACCAACTCATTAGAATCACTTGTTCAACATCTCTACAGGCTTGATGATGATTTCAAATAACGATGTCAATAAAGTCACCTCATCTTGCAGGTTAAATATAGTAGACAAACATCTTCCTTAACAGTATGTAGTTTAGAGATAATTACCTTTGGTTTTTACCCCTGTTGAAAAACTTCTTCACTTTTGATCCACAGATAAGAGACAACCAACTCATCATACGATATCCCTTTAATACATGAAACTACATCACAAAACCACCTTCTAGATAGGGCAGTAACCTTCTTGGAAAAACCAACAACAGAATCACATCTGTCATCAGACCAGTAAATAGAAATCCCCTTAAGATGTTTCTTGAGGAAGGTAGAGCATATATCCAAATTCATGACACTAAATGTCTTTACATTTGTTCAAACTTTCCTTTGAGCAACATAGTCTTGCTGATGTCAGGACTTATGTTCTTGACATTTTGCATTGACCTTATATCCACTCTCCTCAGAACCTGGTTAAAATACCTTACAAGAATAGATCATCATTAGATAAACCTTCATCAGATTCAAGGACACATTTCCCCTCTTTATCAACAGAGTTGGAGATAAAATTTATGCTCTTGTTCTTCTATTCATATCTATCATTTTAATCAGCTCAAAAAATTTTGAGAGACCAAAAACAACTTTTGTTATTGATATCCTAAGCTTATTTAATGGTTGATACCTTATAGTAAAATCTCTTAGGTAGAGACCTCAACATCTTCTTCCTGACTAGCCTTTCTCCTTAACTCTTTGATGTTCCTTCATGAGTAGTCTTGAGAAATTCCCAAACATCTTTGACCATAACACATGTGCTCATCAGATTAAAGATGGAACTCAATACTTTAGAATTACCAAGATCCAACTCATACACTTCCTTAGACTAATCCTCTTCTGACCTCAAAGGACATTCCCTTCCTTTATCCTTAACAACAAGATTCACCAATCCTGACAAAATTCCAAGATCTATTGTCGATTGACATCCAGAATGCTATCATTCTATCCTTCCAAAATACCAATAGTACTAGAAAAATTCTCCTTGAAGCTCACCCAATAAACAGATCAGGGTGCCTGCTCTAATGCCAATTGAAATTCCGGCACTTGCAACTCATGCTAATACTGATGTCCCAACATCAGAGCATAATATCAAGACAGATGTTATAACATCATCTGACTGACAGAACAATAATATCACACTGTAAAATATGTAGAAAAAAAATTGTAGAATGATAAAGAACAAAGTTGATTGTAAACCCAGTTCAGTGCAACGCCACTTACTCTGGGGGTTACCATGCCAAGAAGGAAATTCACTATGACAACATTTGTTCAAAGCCTAAACAATCCTAGTTTATAACTTCTCGCATAATCACTACCTTATGCAACTTCTACCTAGAATCATTCGAGATATGAGATCCCCTTCTCACTTCCTACCAATCACCTCAGTGATAAATACAGTCACATACTAGTGACTAGAATAAAAGAAACAAAAGATTACACTTCTAATAAACAATATTTAACTCTTTTCTTAAAAGCTCACGAATGAGAACAATACTTAGTTTTGCTTAAAATCTTCAACCAAGAATAATAACTTGATAAACAATCAAGTAACAATCAGTCTACCTCACTATATCAAAAGATACTTGGGTGACTCACAAAAACACAAGAGAATCTAAAAACCTAAGACTCTAACATTCCCCTAATTTTACAACTATAAAAGACTTGAAATACATTAGGTCTAGGTTTCTATTTAAATACTCCTCAGTAGTCCATGGGATTTGAAATCTTCACCCAAATATTTCTTGATCCAAAAGTTAAGGGTTGGACGAATTATGCAGAAAAATCTCTTTAAATCTTGAAACAAAACATCAAGTTTCCTAAATTGTCTCAACATCAAATTTTAGAAACTTATGTACAGGTGGAGATTAGATCATATGTTTCAGAATAAATCTTCTTGACCTACAAAAATCAATGAGATATATCCAAAAGAAATATCACACAACCAAATCAAATATGTCAAGATTTAAAACAACATGTACTAATATTCTGGTATAGCATGTCAGAACATTTGTCTTCAATGTAAGCTCACACTCTTCCGTATCACTTTGGTCAAGATTTTAAAACATCTTGCTCAACATCTGTCAAGAACCATATTTTATCAAAATCATTGTTAATCCTAACACCATGGATCTAACGACATGTATATAAAAGAAAGAATTAATTTTCAAAAGATGGTGATGAGTCTTGAAAATTAATTTTGTGTTGGAAGTCATCTTCCTCCTTAGACGGATAGTCCTTAAACAAGAGTGAGTCTATGATGTAACTTGTTGGACTTGAGACTTCACACACAAGAGGGGGGTGAATTACGTGGTTTCGAAAAATATGGTTTTGAAAAATTTTAGAGATTAAAATCAGAGTTTGAAAAAAAAATTCTAAAACTTGAGCAGCGAAAGGTAAATATTAAAAATGCGAAAAAAAAGTAAATGTGACATCGAGAATTATAGAGGTTCCGTTAAATCAAAAGTACCTACTCCTCTCTCCAAGAACTAGTCTTTAGAGCTTTCATTATATACTTGAGAGCTTTTAGTAGGTGAAACTCATGAATCCCTTATACAAGGAAATGGTGGTTGTCCTACAACCATAATAATACAAGACGAAGGATATGATTGTTTCTGTCTAATGCATTTTAATTGTTGAGTCTGAAGTGACCAAGATTCCCTTCTAACTGTAGATTGAATTGATTAAACTTATCTCCAAGAATTATCTAAGCTCAATATAGTTTAACTGGATAACCGTTAACCTCTTGAGATTTTAATAGACTGATCTTCTAACTTATAGTTTTAAACGGGATAACTATGAACCTAATGGTAAGTTCACCAATATTGATAATCTTCAAACTTTGAGCAAACATGGATTTCAAAGAGCCCTAAAGGAAGTTCATAAATATTAATGATCTTCAACCTAATCAATAATGGGAACTAATCACACGATCTCCAACCAAAGTTTTTAACGGATTTAGCTTCCAACCACATTTTTTTATCCCTAAAATGGATTGTGTTCATCCAAGGTGCATAGACAACAACCTTGAAGAAATTTATACAATGCAACCAATCTATAATTACAACAACATCTCACTCACAAAAGATTTTTTCTCACAAAGGTATTTGACTATAAGAACTTGTGAGAGAAAGTGAAATGAAAACTTAGAGAGAGAGAGAGAGAGAGTGAGAGAGAGTCAATACACAATTTGATTTCTGGATGCTTTGAACCGAGGAATGAGTCCTCTATTTATAGACTTGAAAATCTCTAAAAGAGAAAACCTCATTAAAGCCAAAATGACTGTTTTAACTAAATCGATTAACTCATTTAAATGTAACAGTTATGATTTCTAAAATAGGCAAGAAGTTATATGCAACCTTTGCTAATCATTTGGATACATTCAAATTCTCTTTATCCTCAAAATTTCTCCAACCTAATTGATTGACACTTTGTCTTACTCGATTAGATTTAGTTAAAAATATTTTTCTGTCTTTTTGAATGTTCCCATCACTTTCTAAGCAACTTCTATGTATTTCCTCAAAGCATTTTCTTTTTAGAAGCATTTTATAAAAATGTTTTAAGTGTGTGTGCTTTTATAGCCAAATACTTCTATAAAGAGAGAACTTTTGCATTTACAAAAGTTTCACTCACTTACTAAATTAGGATGACTTCCTTAAGCCTAAGTAGGGTGTATTTATTGTGTTGACACTTTACTTGAGATCTTATGATACTTTTGATATAATTCATTTTGTTGTCTTTATCCGAGACTTTGTTTTTCTCTGAAACGTTATCTATGTCTGAAACTTTGTCAATCTTTTATCAACTGAGATATTGTCAATCCTCATCAACCCTTATGACTTACATTTTTAACCGCTTGAGTACGTTGGTTGACTTTTTAAATGGTTACATCTTTATTATGCTAAATGTCATATTTTCTGGTCTTTCTAAAATTATCATCATGTTCTATCTTTGTCATGTTGAATGATCTTTATAGTTGTCATCATCAAAACAATATCTATTACCTCCAAAATAAAATTCCACGAAAACAACAATAATCAACTAGCTATTAGAGCTCACTATGTCACCGAATAATCAAATCTTATTTAAAGTTTCACTAGATCCATATTTGATCATTGTATATCATATAAACTCTCTAATCTAGTTGTGGGATTTTGGTTGTAGAAATGTATAAGTTGATTAGGTTGGTATATCAATTTAAAAAGACCAATTGGTAATTGCATAACACAATAAAAAACTTGTTTGAAATTGTCCCTTCCTGAAAGTGGAAATCATGCTAGTGGAAGAACATACACCAAGTCATGCAGACCAAATAAAATGTTTCTTACAAAGAAAGAAATCACTGAAGGGCAAATAGAAGCTCAAATATTTCAATTTTCCATATAATGGAACAAAAATAAACAAAGCATATAACATTAGCCACGATCAAACCTACCCTATAATTCACAAAGCACCACAAAAAATGTCCCTTTACCAAAAGTTTAAACAGTACACAAATGTTCCATGACAACTTTATAGACAATGGATATTAATCATACAAACAGTTTGAATCAGATTCTCTTGTCTCAAAGTGGCTTAGCTTGCATGCAAACACTTCATTTTCTTACTATAAATTAAGACATGCTACTTCAACTTCCTTTCAACTCACTACAACAAATTTTCATTCACTCACTATCATTATCATTATCATTATCATTATTAGTGTCTTTCATATAATGGGAGGCAAAAATAGGCAAAGGAAATCTTCATCTTTTCTATCTATTTTCAACATTTTCAAATCTAACAAGCATAGAGGAGGAAGTAATTACAATGCTTATGAAGAAGGAACAAAGCCAGGGTACAAAATATGGCCTAGTGATGAAGATAAAGGTAGCTGGGGAGTTGCTGATCCTGTAATTGACATGAGAGCTACAGATTTTATTGCGCGATACAAGAAACGCGTTTCGGATTCAGAAATTCACCAAGCTTAAGGCCAGCACTAGAAATTTTTTTGAATTATTGATTTTTTTTTAAAAATTATTATTATTGTATCTTTTAATTTATTGTTTTTATTTAGGTATTGATTATAAATTTTGAGTTGTGATGACCATAATTAATAATGTCTATTCATGTTTAATACGAACACTGTGTATGCAGTAACTTGTTTACTCTTGAGAAGAAATCTGCATATTATTTACTATCATATGAAAATGGTACATCAAAATGGATGAACTTGCTACAATGAAAAATATCTGAAGAAATCATGGTGATGACTCTTTTTTTTTTTTTTTTTTTTATAAATAAAATTATATTGTTCAAGCTCAAAATTCTGCATATTTCTCAACCATATAAATATTAAAATACTATATACTTTTTCTCCTCACCGAAAATGTTTGATTTGTTAAAATATTTTTCTTTGATGATAAAATTCTCTCTTAATTATTAATTGGAGTAAATATATATATTTTTGTTTTTATAAATATGTACATTTTTATTTTTACTTCCTTAAAAATTCCATTTAAACTTTCTTTTCTACCTGTTTTTTTTTTTTTGCTAATTTTAATAATCTCTTTTCTTTACATACTAATTTAATCGAAAGTACACTTGATAAAAATTAAATATATTTTTTAACAATATTGTATGGCTGAAATTTTAAAATATTATCAATTTAATTGTTTAATTATTTAATTTTTAATTAAAATAAATAAAATAAAAATATTATAAAATTTTAATTGTGTAAATTTATTTTTTGCTTGAGGTGTTCAGATACACAAATTTTTTCAACCAACTTAAGTATTTCATACAATTACGAATCTACAATAATAAAAGAGTTAAATATCTTAGTGCTTTCATAAAATAATATATCAATTTTAGTTTTTTAATTGTTTTTTTTAAAGAATATTTCTCTAAAAAATTTTATCCACACTCTTGATTTCCTATTAAAATCATCGTTAATTTAATTGTTAAATAATAAATTATCACTAAAATTTTTATTAATTATTTTAATATTTTATAAAAATCGTTGTTAAGTTGTAAAAAGAATTAAAAATGTGTGTTAAAATTTTTATAAAAACTATTTTTTAAAAGAAATTTCTTTAAAGACTAAAATTAAATGTTAAAGTATTTAAAAGACCCCAAACATATTTAATTCTAATAAAAATATAAAAATATAAAAAGTAATTTATCAACCGTCAATCAATTGTTTTAAATGACAAAATTATTTTTTTTTATAAATTATATTCATTAATTTAGAAAACTTAAATGCAAATAGATCTAACCTAAAGTCTAAAGTCTGGGGGTTCCAATTTTTTGCTGGCAGACCTAAAGCATGTCATTTTCAATTTCTTGCAAATAATATTAAGAACAAATTTGCTATTTGGAAAGCTAAAATGTTGACCGTAGAGTTTTATTGGTTAAAACCTTTATCCACAACATATTGGTTCTTTGTATGTTCATATACAATTGACTGACCAACATAATTAAAAGAATTGAGATAGAGATGCAAAACTTTATTTGGAGTGGCAACATTTACAAGAAAAAAGTTGTAAATGTGGCTTGGAAGACTTGCACAAAAAAAAGTTCTATCCAACCCTCACCTTCATTGTTTCTGATTGATGGATTAATAAAAATTGGTATGTGCACAACAACACCAATCTTGCTTTTCCTTCTCTTAAAGCCTCTTTTAACTAAGTTCGCAATCCTTGAGTTTAACTCAGATTTCTTGGCTTGGAAAAACCTTGAAGATGGCATGTTAACCATGAAACATGCTTACTAATTTGTGTTAAAGAGTGAAAATTCTGAAGCTTGGTCTATTTTTCCTTAGGATAAGGATTCTGCTCCCTCTCATTTAATGATTGTTTGGAGACTAATGCACAACAAGCTTCCTACTGATGATAATCTTAAAATATGTGTTTCACCTTCCCATCTGTGTGTTCTCTTGTTCTTCTGAATGTGAAAATACTGAACATCTCTTCTTCAAATGCCCTTTTGCCTCTAATTTATGGGCCTGGTTAATGTCTAAATTCTAAATCACTCTTTCCATCAATAGCTTCAGTGACTGCAAGAAAATTTTGAACAATGATTGGGACCCACAATCTACTACTGTGATCAAAGCATGCACTGTTTACTCCTTCTATTTGATTTGGTAAGCCAGAAATAGTGTCAGATTTGACAACAATCTCAAATTGTAGAAAGCTTGTTGTTCAGAGATTGCTGCTCACACGGAATTGGTTGGTAACTTCTCTACCAAGAAATCCAATGACTCTATTTTCTATTTCACTTTTCTCAAAAGTTTTGATATTAATATCAACTCTCGTCCTACTTCTTCCCTAACTGAGGTGCTCTGGTGCCCCCGCAAAGTGGTTGGATCAAATGTAATACTGACGGAGTTGCTTCCAGATCCCCCTTAATCTTAGTCTGCGATGGTATGTCCATGGACGATAAGTCTAACCACTTGCTGAGTTTTAGTGTCAAATTGGGTGAAGGATCTTCTGTCTATGCTGAATTCATGGCTGTAATTTTGACCATTGAGAAGGCTAAAGTTTCAGGTTGGTCTAAACTTTGGTTAGAATCTGATTGCAACTCGTGTTGTCAAAGCTTTTTCAAATCATAATTTGGTGTCGTGGAAGATTAAACCGCATTGGCTTGCGCGTTGGGCGTTTACTCTCCAGATTAATTTCATGATTACACATATTTAAAGAGAGGTCAATTTTTATGCGGATCTCCTGGCTAACATTGATTTTAAAAGCAACAATATTACTTTTTATAATTTCGTCCATTCTAATTTACTCAAGGATTACATGTTAGACAAGACTGGTACTCCAGATTTTGAACTTTCTCTAAAGAGATTTAAATTTGATCTCCTTTTTGTGTTGCTTGTAATTTTTCTTTTGTTTTAATATATTTTAGTTTATTAAAAAAATTGTTCTAAAAAATATGGACAAATAAGAAAGTAAGACAAAAATACATTAAAAATAAAGATGAGTTTGAGTTTTTTGTTCAGTCTTAAATAAATTTGAGAACAAATATTTTTTTTAGTAATAGCATTAGGTTGTGAACTTATAATTTATTTGTAAAACAACAATATCTCTACTCATATACAATATTATGTTTAGTGAATTGTTAGTTGATTAAATTATAAGATAACTTATGTTATTTTTTATCTTATGATTTAAAAATATTATTTACCAATTCTTTTACAATTTTTGTTTATACATTAGTGATTTGTCTTGCAATCATATCAGTCTTATCTTTATACTGTCTTATTCTTATTGCACTCATATCTCATTTATAATGTTTAGAGTTTGAGTTTATAAAGTTGGTTCAATCTAATAATATAGCTGGGTAACATATTGTAGAGCATAATATTGGACTCTTTGTTTAATTTATTTTTTTTTTAAATTTATTATAATGTTAAATATTTTTTTATAAAAAAGTCACACACAAAATTAAAAAAAAAACTTTAAATGAAAAAATAGTTTAAATAATATTTTTATAAAATATAATTTTAGGTATTTTATCATTTTATTATCATTTTTTTAACATCAAAAATTAAAAAAAAATCACTTAAAATTAAAACAATTTAAATATTTTTTTGTAAAAATCATTTTAAAATATATTCTTTAAAAATCATTTTATTGATTAAAATATAAACGTGCGTTTTTATCTTTTAAGCATTGTTGTATTGCTTAGAAAAAAAGAGTGTTGTACTAAAGTATTCATTGAATGCCAGCTCTTGGAATCTCATAGATTACCAAGAAGTGAGTTTTTGTGGTTTTTTTAAGGGCAAAATAATACCGTACATTGTACTGTATTATTCTTATCAACCTTTTTTTTATGCCTAAGTTTCCAAAAACTAGTTATTTGCACTTCCCTTCCTTTTTGCCCTTTATTCCTTCCTTTTGTCACTTACATCTTTTTCCCAAAGAAAGAGTTTGGAAACATTGGTAAGTTACATGGAAATTGAGTTACGGAATCAATCACTTCCCAACGAATAAAATGGGACTTGGATCCTCTCATATTTTGTGTTTCCTTCTCTCTCTCTTGCTTCAATCTAAGCCTTTAAACTAATCTTATGATATAGGAGAGAAAAAGTTGAAAGAAGATTTAACCATTAAATTTAAATTCAATGGTTAGATATTGCACATGAGAGGTGATAGCAGACAAAATGTTGGAGGGAATTTGTTTTCAATAAAACGTGATCATGCAATTTTTTTCCATTTTAGGGTTTAAATAGAGAACATCATTCGTCGTGTTCGCCCAAATCAAAATTGAAAAACATTGAAGTTGTTTTCATAATAAGATGTTTTATGCTATTTCTTTCCTTTTCTTTTAATATATATAGTAATGTTCCATTGAAGGACCTGAAATGTTCAATTAAAGGGTGAAATGAGATCTTATATGGTGGAACAAGCTGAAGGTGTGAAGAAAACGCAAGGGGGGGGGGGGGGGGGGGGGGTTGAATTGAGTTTTTTTTCTTGAATATCTTTCGCTTCTAAGCATTATTCGTTGAACAATGCTTCTGAGTGTTACTTCTAAGTAATGCTTCTAATTAAGTTAAGAAAACATAAACTCTAAAGCATAAGCAAAAGTAAAGAGCACGCGATATATTCTTGTTCACTTGAGAAACTCCCAAGCTAGTTCAGTCCATCCTACCAAGGTGATTTCGCCTTGAACTCAAGGACTTAATCCACTATAAGCAATCTGATTACAGTCGCACAAGCTACCCGCAAGTGACTAACATCTAATGACGCGTTCAGGGATCCAAAGTGGATATAACGTTCATTGACCCAACAAAATCTGATTCTTTAGAATCTCCTATCAGGATTTGCTTGCAATGATATCCATCAGGGATCTCATAAGGATGACCTTCATTTAGTCTCCTTTGAGATATGACTACCATTGTCCCAATAGAATACACTACCAGAATTCCATCTACGATGACTGCAACCAAAGTCTTCTTGAGAATTCTGACTCAATCGAGTCTCTCAAG